AAGATATAGAATGCAATCAAATTAAGATAGATATGGCTAATTGGAGTACAAAATTATTCAAACTTTCATTAAAAAAATATATTCGAGATGGTACTATATATGATTTTATTCATGCATTAGAAGAAAAAGATGGTAAATCATATTCTAATATATTCTGGAAAAAGTGATTCATACATTTTTCCCATATAGAAATATCTCGAAACTTAGCTTCCTCAATGTATTGTATTGTATTTTTACTATGTAAAACCTCTTTGGAATTAATTATTTTTTTTTGAGTGAATTGGAAATTTGAAGCTTTGCTTCCTCATTTTTATTATAAACAGAAAGTGGAATAGTAATAGTTTTTCCATTAGCTGATGCTATAAACTCACCCTTTACTATAGGTTCCCAGCCAGCTCGATGTTGCCATCTAGTACCAAGAATAAATAATGATATATCATTACCATTATTATCTTTTTCTGTTGGTAAAACTGAAAACTCATCTGAAATTGTTAAGATATCATTTTCAATACCTATAGTAACAGGTATATCAGAAAAGCTTCCAATAGATTGTTTTTCACCTATAGTACCTGTTAGTCTATAAATCTTTTTTCTATCTAATTTTAACCCAAAATATTTTATAAAATGGTTTGCGATATTTTCAGAAATATGTGACCCATCTGAACCTGTATCGAGTAATGCATGGAGTATTTCTAAATTATATACTTTATATGAAATAGTAGCATAATTATTGGGTTTTTTTATTTGCAAAAAGTTTATTTTTAATAGGTCAAGCCAATTTCGATATAATTGAGCTTCTTGATATTGTTTTATAGTGAAATTTAAAGAGGAAGACCTCTCTACCTTCTCGAGCTCGTGAGAAAAACTAGAGCATGTTTGGAATAATGGTTCTAAAATAACTTGATACTTTTTTATTATATTTTCCCAGACCTTGTCTACTTCTTTTTTTGTATAGTTTTTTAAATGATATGAATAATATGAGTCTTTCATTTCAGAAAACAATTTACTAAGATCTGTATATATTTCTGTTAAAACTTCTTTAGAACATTGGAGAATATATCTTGTTATTATATATTTAACCGATTCTAAATATATCTGATTTTCATTAATAGCCTTCTTACTAGTTTTTGGCTTATTGGACTTCTTTTTTATAAATGATCTAGAAACCCCACTTTTTTTTTTAAATTAAAGCAATTGGTTTCTTGAGATTCAATCTCACTATTTTCTTGGTCACTTTCTGATTGGCTAGTTTCTTCTTGATCATATTCGATTTCATCTTCCGATTGGCTTTGGCTAATATATCTATATTGGGAAATATTATTGATCTGTTTAGCTTTTTTAGACACAGAGTGTCCTGCTCTGCAGACTTTGGGGCAATTTGTTTTTGTATACCCAGCTTTTCTGCATATAGAACAATATCTTGTAACAGTTTTTTTCTTTGCTTTTGTAGGCTTTTTTGTAGTGTATAATTTTTTCATTTGTATATTAAAATTCATATAATCTAATTTGTTATATAATTCTTTTTCAATAAAGTTGTCCAGAGCATCAGGATTACGAGATGCATCATCAGGATATTCTAATCTTTGCACAATAAAATCTAAATAGTCTAATGCTTTTTTATATTGAGATTAGTTTTCTGTAGGTATAGTATTAGATAAAATTATAGGAACTGATGCATTGACCCCATTATAGGTAAAGGTAGAAGGTTTTCGCTCAAGCCAGGTATCTTTAACAGCTGTAAAGAATGCATTTATATC